CAAAACTGACTACAAACATCAAGCCACACATTCCAGAAGGCCTGGGAACTCCAAGCAGGATAAATAAATACCCCCCTCTAGGTACATCATAATTAAAGTAAATGAAAACCCAAGATAAAGAGGAAAAATATGTTAAAAGCAGCTACCATTACTTGAAAAAAGGTGAGAAAATGTTGCCTTACTTCTTGACAGAAACAATGAAACCCAGAAATTCATGGAATTTAAATGTTTGTAAAGCCTGAAAGAAAATAACTGCTCACCTAGAATTCTTTGTCCAGTAACAATGGCCTCCAATAATAAAGGTGAAATTAAGACATGTTTGGGGATTCCTTTCTGGAAATAAATACTACAAGGGGTTCTTTAAGGAGAAGGAAATGATTTAAGATGCTAGATTATAGATGCAGGAAGAAATAAACAACAATGCAAAGATTAATTCAAGAAAATCCAAAAGCATTAGACTGTGAAAAACAACATAACCATGTCCACTGGGGGTTGAAAAAACATGAAAATACACAACAAGGTGTGTATAAGTCAGGAGGGAGGGCTGAACGGAGTTAAAAAGTCCTAAGGTCCTTGTATTATCACAAAAGAAGATAAAAACCAATTAACATTAGACTTTGATAAGTCAAAGATACATATTTTGGTCTCTAGAATAACCTCTATAGGAATAGTAAACTCAAGGATATAACTTCTAAGATTATAGAAGGAAAAATAGAATATTCAACCACTCCAAAAGCAGGCAGGAAAGTAAAATAAAAAGAACATAGAGCATGTGGGATAAATGAAAACATTTAATAAGGTGGTAAATTTAAATCCAAATACATCAGTGATTAAAAGTTTATGTTTACATTAAATGTAAATTAACAAAATATTGAGTTAAAAGTCACAAAGTGTTGAACTGGGTGAAAGAATCTATACAGTGTGCATCAGAATGCACCTCGACTTGGTTTGCCAGCCAACTGGTCAAGGGACAGGTCAAGGGACGGGTCAATGCGCCAACCAGTGAGAAATGAGACTTCGTTATTTTAAGGCACTGTAATTTGGGGATTATTTGTAACCACTGTATAACCCAGTCTATCCTGACTAATACCAGTACAAAAAGGGAAGGACTTTTTCTTCCAGCCACAGAGGTGAGGCTGTTTTGAAGAATCGGTGAGTTCTGGTTAGTTCACTGTGGTTTAAGCTCCAGGCAGGTGAGGTGAAACAGGGCGGGGCAGGGAGCGCAGCTCCAGAGAACAGCCTGTGGCAGGAGGCAAGTTCGGAAGGGGCTTGGACTTATAAGGAATGGAGATTGTCCTGGAAGGTCAGGGTCTGCAGAAGCTGTGATGGATGAATATTGGTGGTAATGGAGAGGATGGACTAGGGAGAATCTAATCAGGTAAAAGGAGGAAATTAGGAAGAGAGCTAGTCTCAGTGAAGATGATACAGGTTTTATTCTGCTCCCTAGAGGTAGCTATTAATAGAAATTTGGTGAGAATTTTTCCAGCAATTGCATATACATGCAAACACACACACAAACAAATTTTAAACATGCAAATGAGATTGATTATATCTTCATGGTTATTTTCCATGTCATCTCAAAGAGATTTGCCTCTTTTTATTGGCTGCTTACTATGTTATTATATAGTTGTGCCATAATAAAGTAACCACTCCCCTGTTAACAGACATTTAGGTTGTTTTCACTATTACAAACAATGCTTCAGTGACCATCTTGCAAATAGTATTCATACATTTTAATGTCTTTTTTCAACAGACACTTGAAAAGTTTTGCCACCATTTGAATGGTGGAAATTTTAGGTTATTAATGGAATTATAACCGGGCAGGCTATTTGAGGTGACAATTTTGGTTAGGGGCTGCCACTATAGCTAAATTATGCCCAGAATAGCATCTTAACCATACTGAGCACCAGATAAGGGCTCATTGAATGAATGAATGAATGAATGAATGAACAAACGAACTAATGAATCCACATCTACTGTAGACATCTGTTGGGCCTGCTCTGCCCTCATTTCTCACAGGACTTCTCAACCTGAGCACGACTGACTTCCAGGGCCAGACACTGCTTTGTGTGCTGCTGTCCTGAATGTCATAGAATGTTTAGCAGCATCCTGGCCTTGGCCTTCTCGGTGCCACTGGTACGATCCCAGTTGCAGCGATTAAAAATGTCTCCAGAAATTGCCAAGCATCCCCTGAGGGAACCTCGCTCCTGGTTGAGAAGCGCTGATTCATAATACGGGTCGTGTCTGTTTGCTGGCAAAGGCCCCTGGGAAAGACAACTGACTGCAAAGTTTGGTCACATTTCTACTTGGTCCCCCCATGTTAAAGAGGCCTTTCTCCTTGGGTTTCCACTGACCTCTCAGAGTCTCCTGGATACCTTGGTCCAGGTTTCATTTCTCTAGGGCCACCTAACACCTTCCCTGATTGAGGTCAATCTTCAGTATAAATTCTCTCATTACCAACTACCCCGCCTTGGAAATACTTATTAAAGTTGAATTCTTACACTTACTAGAGTAATTATGAAGTTAATCTGTGTCTCTCACCTTCCACAAGTGAGAATTTGCTATATAACATAAGAGGTTTTGTTCACCGTTTTTATATCTAGTGCCCAAAACAATGTCTGACATGTCCTAGGTGCTCAATGGATGTTGGATGGATGGATGGATGGACAGCCATCTGTTATTAGCAGTAGCCGGCCCTAGGGAATAGCAGCAGTCTTCACCCATTTTTGCTCTTGTGCCTTTTAAAATAATTTTGAAAAATATTTTAAATAATTTTAAAATAATAATTAATAAAATAATAATTTTAAATAACATTTAAAACAATGTTACCTATACCCACATTTAAAAGTTGGTATGTTAAATGTTCATCATTAAGTCCATGTGGATTCAAGATAATAACTTCCAGCATGTTGCAAATATTGGAATTTAAAAACTTAGCAGTGACAATATCCTTTACAATTGGCTTTCATAGTACTGGGGGTCAGGCCAGCTTCCCGACCTGCCCGACTACTCAGGACTCACTCCGCTCCACTCGCTTCATAGCTCGAGGCTTAATGGAAACTCTCTCCCACGTCGCACAATAGACATCTGGCGCCAGCCTCAAACGGCCGGTGGTCAGACTGACTTTCCCGCACCTGGGAACAACTCGGTCCTTTCCCTAACCCATTGTCCGGACTCATATCCTGAAACCCTGAGGCAACAGGAGAACAAGAGACGGACCCCTCCCTATCCGCCCCCACCCCACCAGACCCCGTGCTTTCTCTTCTAGAAACCCATTTCTGCCTCCCTCGCCAGGAAGCCGCCCAGACTCAGCCTGCGGTGCGGGTCCAAATGAAGGCGTGGGGATCGGATCATCTGGTTCCTCCCATCTCCATCCCTTTCTCGATTCTAACAACTACTGTCTTTCAAATGCAAGGGATGAAAGAAACAAAGTATTAAATAAAAATTTCTTAATTCATTGTTAAGGGAAGCTGAATTAAACTATTAAAGGAAGCTCCCAGTCTGGGGACCCGGAGATCTTTACATTTGGCTCAACGGCACCTTAGTAAGATTCGTGAAGAGTGAGGGGTATGCCTTCCAGTGAGGGAAGGGTTACTACGGACCCAGACACATCTCAGGCAAATCGGTTTGAGGGAAGAGTAGAACCCGAGACCCTGGAAACATTCTCTAAAACTGATCCTTGGTGTGTGCCCCCCGGAAGGTCTTCAAGGCCACCATCCTGCGGGTAATAGAGGCCAGTGGCCTGCAGAGGGCAGTGCTGGACAAGCCTTTGAGCTCCACGTCCGGTTTCCCGCAGGTTAGCAGAGAAAGGGCGACTCAGTTTGAGCGCGGTTGGGGGCCCAGCTTGGGCGGCCCAGCCCGTCCCCTCCTGTGTACGCAGTGGATTATTCACAGGAAACCGGCTGCAAGCAGAAGGCAGAGCAGAGACTCTCTATCCTGTACCTAGAATCACGGCCTGGGACTGCAAACAGATGAAAAGCCCATGCATTCTTTCTCCGGTTTGAGAACTTGGCGGGGGGGGGGGGGGGGGGGGCACCAAACACCTGAGGACTGAAGTCATGGGGCTGACTCTACCGTGAGGTTTTTGTTTTTCCTCTTATGAAATGACAATAACAGTGACACCTCAATAACGTATTGTTTCAGGAGACAGTGAGCAAAGTGGGTGAAAGCTCCCCCTCTGGCGCCAGACAGGTGGTGGCTGGGAAGTGTGCCCTCCACCAGCTCCCCCCCCTCCAAGCCAGCTCTGCCTTCCTGAATGTCAACCAGAACCACGTCACCGTCCTCATGGGGGCGCTGGGAGGATGAGCCGGACAATGCAGGCACAGAGTTCTCCATAAATAACAGCGCCGGTGTTGATGACGGTGACACTGAACTGGCATTTTGTCAGGCAGGAATGTCTCCAAACTTACCACTCAAGTCTGAGGAGGAAGAATCGGAGGTGAAGAAAACAAGCTATTTCATAAATGTTGTAAGTTTGACAAACCAGAGGATGACAGAATCGGTGCAAGTCAGCGTTACTGTCTAGCTGGTTAACATTGTGCCTCCCAGCGCCAGGGGGGTCTCCCCCACTGACAAGAGCGCCTGCGTGTCTACAATAGTGTATATGTGAAGGCCATGTGTATGCGTGTGTGTGTGCGGACCACACGGTGTGCCCACCAGCCTCGGACATCAGAGCAATGACTTCGTTCGGTACATTTATCCTCTGAGACACCTCAAAACATGGGGATGAACTAAAGATGAAATGAAGTTAGTAATTTAGGCTAATTGCTTGGATATATGAAAAGTAAGGCTCTGCGCAAGACCCCTGCCCTTCCACCTCGCATGGGGAAAGGTAACAGGGACTAGCTCAGGGGCATGGAGACGACTTGGAGAGATAACCAACCTTTCACCTGGCAGCTGTCCAGCCCCCCCAAATAGCTTTCGCGTCTGGTCCAAAAATAAGATCACATGGGAGGGGGAGAAATAAACACCAAGTGCTTTTCCTTGGCCTTCCCGTGGGTACAGCAGCATCGGCCTCGGAGAGGCGCCACAAGAAGGTGGCCTCACGACCCCTCTGCTGCCTCTTCCCCAGGCTCCAAGGCTGGGAAAACAACCTGTATAGGGGTGGGTGGGGCGTGTGGTTGGCACTCAGCCCTTCTCCTGGGGCTCCTTTGAGCTCCACTCACAGCAGGGAGGGAGCAGGAGGGAGAGAACCAGAGGCTCTAACAGCTTGGACTCTGGGGTATGGGGAGGGAATCTTCCTTTAGTTGAAGGACACGCCCTCTGATGGAGAAGGGGAACTCCCTTCCTCCTGTGGCTGCCTGCCTGCGGTGGTCCTGGTAGGGCAGCGTGAATGCTCAGGCTGTCGCAGCTGCTGTGGCCCCAGAAAGAAAGAGCCCCAGAGCCAAAGCAGAGAGGTGAGTACATTTGCTTCTCCAAGGGGCTCAGACTGCTATGGGCCTCTGCCTGGCTTCAGGCTTGCACGCATGGTGAATGCTCTCCCCTGCTCCCGTCCTCCTCCTCTCCTCCAGGACCTGAGGCTCTGCAGCAGGCCTGAGTCTGTATGATGGATGCTGCAGTGGATCTTCCTGTCCTCCCTTCTTTGGTTCGGAGGCCCCTTTGGTCCCAGAAAGAATGGAGGAAGTCTAGTTCTTAGGGGGGAGGCAGGAAGTGATTCTTATCAAGTGAATTATCGTTGCTGAGATCTAAGAAGAGGTTTCACAGGAAATCGTTAGACAAATCCCATTACAGTAGAGTTAATGCTCAGTTTCTAAAAGCCCTGCATGAAGTAGGAAATAAAAGGATGCCAGCTGATTCTTGGTAATTGGGCAAAAGGGAAAAAACGGAAATGGGATATGCAGAGCTTCCTGTCCTCTCAGCCCCTTCCCTATCTCTTCCTGGCTTCTTAGGACCCTGCAAAATGTACTTAACAGATCAAGAACTCCTTGCTTTGGTTGAGAACAAGAGGAACAAAATCAAGGAAGGGAGGGTTAGGAGGGAATTACTCTGTAAGGAGAGTCAAGGCACGAAGAAGAGAAACATCTTTTTCAAAGTCTCGGTTTCTCCGCCTGACATGTCTGCACTCCCAGACACACACTCACCTGTGCCTGTTTAGGGACGTGCACTGAGGTCTCCACTGCTGGCACATGCATGCCATTATTCCCTGACACACACCGCCCCTCGACTGTGGGCTACACATATCTATTCCAGGGATAAGTCATGCTGATCCTTAGCATGGTGGGAACAAGGCAACTACTTGAATAAATCAGGATTCTTTTGGTAACAATGGACTGAAACCCAGTTTGTAGGGACACAGGCAACACAAGAAGGAAACCTGCCCCCTTGAGGAGCTGGAACATCCAGGGCTCTGATAAGGCCAGGTCCAGCCGCACAGACAACGGCATCTTGACCCTCTGTTTTCCCCATTTCTCGGCCTCACTGCCCTGTGTCCTATCCCCAGGAAGACTTATCTATTGTCGTGGCAGACGGCTGGCAGCCAAGTCCAGGCTGCCATCTGCCGGCACAGCCACCCCACAGCAGTTCCAGCCTCAGCCTCAGGGCCACATTTCATGGAACCAGTGTGGTGCTGCCATCCCTCCCTGGGGCTGTCATCATCGCCACCCAGAAACCCCACGGACCGAAGGCAGTGAAGGGCTGGCCCCCAAAGGTGATCACGGGGCCAGGCCCAGGAGAAGGGGTCTGGAGGCAGGACGGCCAACGCTGCCACCCTGTGCTGCTCTGCTCCACGGTCTAGAGCAAGTCACAGCTCCTCCCACAGAACCCCCCCCTTTCCCTCTCACAGTCCACACAGATTCGTCAGTGACAGAGTTGGCACAGTGAGGATGGTGATTAGAACAGGCGACTCAAATGCCCGTGGCGTGTTGTCAGTTCCAGAGACCCTCAACTTGGCAAAGACAGCGGAAGGATGGACTCTGGCTCAGTCCCCAGACCCCCCACCATGTCCAGACCCACCTGACACCCTGTGCTCACACAGGTCTCCCCTCCCCCACTCTGTCGCCCTCAGCTCTGCTGCCGTGACCCCTCCTGCCTCTCGAGGGCCAGCCCGGTGCTGCCGCCCCTCTGAGGCCCCGTCTGGCCTGCCTGGCCCTTCCTGCTGCCTCCCACCCTGACCCTGGTGGCTGTGACTCTCAGTGTATCCGTGCACATGTGCGTGAAGAGCTTCACATATCTTAGTTCCTCTCCTGGTCTGAATTTTACATTTCTGGGGGAAAATTAAATTTCATCCCCAGCCCTCTCTGTGCTATAGAACACGCAGTAGGTAACCAATTAAGTGCTTCCAATTAATCGAGCAGTAAAAAAAAAAAAAATGAGCCTCAGTAAACAGCTTGGAGAGGATGGCTAGATTTTTTGAGGCCCTTAATTTTGATTTTAAAAGTAATATAATATCTGCCGCAAATGCTGATTGGACTCTGAATGCCCGCTGGAGCGCCTAAGGCATTGTGTCAGATAATCCTCACAATGACCCTATAGGGGGCAATACTGCTATTACTCCCATTTAATGGGTGGGGAAACTGAGTCTGAGAGAACTGACTTGTCCTAGACCACACCGCTAGTAAGTGGTGATGCGGGAGTTAGAGCCTAGGCCCGCCCGCCATCTCATCTCCTGTGAAATTCGTCACTGACCTGCTTCTCGGTGCACCTTCCTGTAGAGGCGCAGGTGATTTGCTTAGGAAGCAGGAGGAAGCTCACATATTTTGGGTCCCTCTTCTGCCACCTGTGCTCCCACCGTCTCTACAGGGGGGTCCTTACTAGACTGTACCCTGTGGTGAGGGTCCCCCTACCTACCCCAGAGCCAATGAGAAGATCAGGAGCACAGTGACTGGAGGTCACTCGGGGTGCCTCCAGTGCTCTGTAGGAAGCAGGGTGCTTTCTGATGAAATGAGGGGAGAGTGATGGGAGAGTTCTTGGCCTGAAGGTGTCTGGTTTCTGTGATGCCAGGGAACCTATTCATGTGCCTGAGCATCTTCTCCAGCACAGATTCCACCTGATTTGCGTCAGGAATTCTCACAATGCCCCAGTGAGCCAGCGCTGGTGTTCTTGCCACTGAGGCACTGAGAGCCCGAGTCACACCCCAGACCACACAGGAGCAGGGAAGGCCCCCCGCTCCCCCCACACCAGGGTTGGAGGGCTCTGGTCTTTAGGATCCCAGCTTCTTGCTTCTCCATGAGGTTATACTTTCAAAAAACTAAAACCAAAAGAATTAGATGGGCTAAGTGAAAGTCCTTGGGTAAATCTTTAAGAGGAAAACCACTGCTAAACCCACAAGAAAGGAAAGCGTGTCCACACAAAAACACGTACCCAAATGTTTGCAGCAGCACCGTCCTTGACAGCCACCAGAGGACACGTGCCAGATGTCTGTAAACCGACGGACAAATGTGGCAATAAAGTAAGATGTGGCACATCCTGCAATGGAATATTACTCAGTGACAAAAGGAACAAAATTCTGATGCCCAATGCAACCGACGTGCACCTCAAGACACTGTGCTTTTTGAGGGAAAGAAGCCCATACCCGTGTGATTCCCTGTCCTGCGAGTGGCCAGAACGTGCACATCTATAGAGACAGAAAGTGGGTTAGCGGTTGCCTGGTCTGGCTGGAGGGGAGGAATGCGGAGCAACTGCTAATGTGTGTGGTTTCTTTGGGGGATGACAAAAATCTTTTAAAATTAGATAGTGCTAATGGTTGTACCCCTTTGTGACTATGGTAACACCACGTAAGTGTATAGTTTAAATGGGTGAACTGCATGGTATATGGATTATAGCTCAATAAAACTGTTAACAAACACAAAGGAAGGTTAATGAAAGAACTAACTCAGTGAAAGAGCTTCGAGGAAAGGTGTGGCCTCATCCTGTCTGCTGTGACGAGCTGATGTCCTGACTCAACGAGTCGGCAGAGGGCCATCCAGACACTTCTCGTGGAAAAACTCTGGGCGGACAAGGTAGGGCCCGTAGATCTCTCCACAGTGTCAACTAGGAGGAGTTTTTTCCATCTTCTCTGTACAGATCATTTAAAATTTTATGGGATCAATCTCACAATTCTATTTTCATTTCTGGGTTTCCGATCCCACTTCCAAAGGTGGTCCCCATTCTAAGATTATAAATCTGATTAACAAATGATTTCCTCTAATGCTTTTCTGCAATGTTTTCCTCACTATATTTAAAACACCAATTTCTCTGGACTTTAAGCAACAAACTGGGGGGTTGGGGTTTTTGTTTTTATTTTGCCATTGATTAGATCAGTATTTCTTAATTTGGGATTAAAATGGACTTGGGGATATCTTATAACTTCCTGCAGTTAAATATAAAAGTGTGTTGGCATTTGTGTGTGTGAGAGAGAGACAGAGAGAGGGAGCTTATACACAGAGTTATAAATCTTAGATTCTCAAGGGGTTCTCTGTGATGCACAAAAAGCCACCGGGGTCTCTACGTTTCATAACCTGGGGTCCAGGTAGACACACCTTGTGCATTCCGACTCACTGACACAGCATTTGTGCCTGCGGGCCCATCGTCACACGGTTGCGGGGGAGGCCTGAATGATGACCTCTAGGCGACATTCTCTGTCACAGGTCAAATGGGAGTCACCACCCTTCACTTTGACATTTTACTGACTCTCACTGGCTCCCCATGGACTGTAAAACTGTGGGTTTTAATCACCTGCCGACAAACCGACGGAGCTATAGAAACAGGAGGTCTTCCTGCCACAAAGAATCGAGGAGGCTCAGGGCTGCAAGCAAAAATAAATATAAAAATAGCAACAAAACTGGTACCACAAGGAAGGTGGCAGGTCCTGTGTGCAGACTCATGCAGTCGTGTGACAACTACGTCTGTGCAACACCTGATGTGGGCCAGGCAGGGTCCAGACCTGCAGCTTGCAAAGCGTGGTCCCCAGGCCTGCAGCCCTGGCCTCACTGGGGACCTGGGACGCACACGTCTCCAGCCCCGCCGACCCTGCTGAATGTGATGCTCCAGGGTGGGGCGTGCAGCAACCAAACTTAAATGATGGTTTAATGAACCATCCAGGTGGTTCTGATGCACATTCACGTTTGAGAAGCGCTGGTCTAGCTACTGGAAATATGAACACAACAGTGAAAAGACAGATGAAATCCCCATCTCCTCATGGAGTTGACACTCCAGTGTGTGTGGTCGGGGGAGACAGAAAACATGTCATTGATTACAGTGACTTTCAGATAGTATTAAGATCTACGAAGAAAAAGATCTGTGTGCAGGACAGTGATGAGGGGCTGATTTAGAACAGGGAGGAGATGGTCTAAAATGTGACCAGAATGGTAAGCAAGAGCCAGCCATGCAAAGAATTAAAGGGCAGAAATTAAGTGCATACACTTTAGACATAGGGAAGAGCACGTGCAAAGGCCCTGAGGCAGGACTGTGCTTGGCTTGTGTCAGGAGCACAGTGAGCAAGGGGTGAGCAGGGGATGGTCTTAGAGAGGCAGGTGGTGGTAGCAAGCTTAGCTTCTGTTCCTAGCGCAAGGGAAAGGCCCTGGGCAGTTTCGAGCACATGGGGACATGATCCGTTTACTTTTAGCAGGATCCCTCTGGAATGAACAGTGGGGGGTAAAGGCAGAAGCACGGAAGGCAGCCAGGAGGATATTGCAGTAATACAAGCAAGGGATATTGGTGCTTGGATGGGCAGGAACAATGCACAAAGATCTATTATTAAGTGAAAAACACACAGCAATGCAGGCCATTGTGCATAGTAAATTGTTTTGAAGCACACACACATTCAGAAGTATAAAGACTTTCCCCCCCCTGAAAGATCTAAGAAAAAAGAGTAATAGTGGTTATCTTTGGAAAAGAGGGAGTTAGTGAAGGTCATTTTATACCTTTCCATGAATTGCACATTTTTATGATGTGCACAAAGCATTACTTTTATTTAAAGATAAAATGTTTTAGAAAATTGAAAAATTGAGAGAGAAGAAAACACAGGACAAGTGACAGGTGACAAGTACCCCAGAGAGGGAGCCCACCGCCCTCCCCTGAAGGCGATGGAGAGCCAGGCTGACAGAGCAGGGTGAGCTCCTGCGCTTGGGCGATAGAGGGGCTGGGGGGTGCCGAACCTTCTCACTGGAAAGCTGCTGGACCCCGTTTCTGTCCTGCACACTGGTGGTATTTGTGGTTAGGAGGTCTCCCGGGCAACTAATACAATTCCCCGTGGGTGTCTGCTGCGTCTCCCTTTGCCCTGTCTGTCAAATCGCCCCCTTCGTCATCCTGGCCGCTGGATCACTGGGAGCCCAGCATGCCCTCCTTCTGACTGCATACTGGGCATAAGCGGAAGGAAAACCTTTGCCGGAGGGGGCGGGGGAGAGCTGGCATGCAGCCTCTGGTTTCTCCCCTCAGCTGATCAGGATTTGTTGTGTCCGATCAAGGTCAAATGAGATTAGAAAAAAATGCAGTGTGTCTGGTGTGCGTTTTACATAACTGCATCACTTATGTAAACAGGATGAACAAAGGGAAAATTTTAAAGCAAATACTGAATGTCAGTCTTAAGATTCAAGGATGAGAAGGCTTATATGCTGTACCTGAAGAGAAAGAAAATTTATTTACTGGGGACATTTTGAACCCTGCCGATTCTGTCATGTTCTGACTCTTTCTTGTTGGTGCAGTTAAAAAGTGATAGATTTATGTCCTGATTTTCAAGGCACTGAGCACAGATAAGTAAAATCATGGAAATGCCACCTTCTACCTTTACTGCTGTTGAGAGCTCTTAGAAGAGGGGTGGGGCCACCCTCTGCGACAGCAACCGTGGAAGTGCCGGGGGTGAGTCGGTCTCTCAGATCCCGGGAGGAAACGTCTCATCTCCGGCAGCAGCCGCCGAAGTTCAGACGTGGAGGCTCCGGCCAAGGCCACACCTCTGTGGATAAGCCCACTGGGCTGCTAACAGGACTCTTTGGTCCCCCAACTCTGTCACTTTCTTCCTTTCTCAGACCCACCCCCTACACTGCTAGTTGGCTCACGTGTAAGGTTTTAATTGTGGCAGAAATGTCATTAAAAGTGGTATAAGAACTCTGAGGGGAGATAGAATTTCTGTGACTTACTCTGCACAGGATGGAGCGAACTGTGGACGCCGGCTTCCACGGCTGTGGTTTCAGCGCAGTTTCCCGGCCTGGAGCTGGAGCTGCTCCGAGGCCAGACTTTTAAACTGGGTAACCCCTAAGGCCCTTCCCGCACTCAGTAAGAGTGAGGCCGAAAAGCACTAACATACTTCATGACCGAAAACTTCTGAATGTATATTATGTAACAGATAAATCTAGATACGTGACATAGAAGCTGAAATAAATATGGAACTTGAGAGACATTAGAGCGAACTTTTAAGAAATTTCAACACTGAGGGGAATTATCTTGCAATCCTTTCAGGAACTGAGGAATCGTTAATTCCCAGCATTTGGACAGTAACATTTCTGAACACCTACTATGTCGTAAAGAAAGTCACTTCTATCAGTAGCTAGGGGTTACAATTTGCCTAGAAGCTGCAGAGTTTGTTTTTAACAGCCTTTCACAACTGGATGTAATGGAGAAATAAAACTACTATCAGGCTGGCCACTTGCATTGCCAGTCTCCAAGGTGACCTGACGTGCTGTCACACACTCGTGGGTCACTGCCATTCAGCCAGCCTGCAGGGCTGACACGGTGACAGCCTCTCCACCTCCGTGGGGAGGGGCACGCTGCAAGTCCTGAGAGCTGAGCTGTCCAGAAATGGCCACCGACACGAGTGGGCAGGGTTGAGGGTGTCTCCCTGAGGCGGGAGGCCCAGCTTCCATCACAGCAAAGACTTTAACTAGGGTGCGCCTGGGTGAGACTCTGAATCGCACCTCTGTCCTTGGGCCTTTAGGGTGCTCCCTGACGGTGAGACCTGTCGTTCCACGTGGTTGAGGGGAGTGTGCGTGGGTGCGATGCAGCATGATAGCGCCCTGATGTCGAGGAGACCACTGCTGGAACACTGTTCTCTTCCTGTCGCTCAGAAGGCCCTTGGGGATTCGCAGACACTCAGGAAGCGCGTTATTTTTACAGCCAATGGTCAATACCCGACTATGTGGGGGGCCGTTCGTGGAGGTTCCAGTTAATGAAGTTTGGATAAACAAGCTTTTTCTGGACCTTCAAGTCCATTTTAGGAGAGCTGCTGCTCCCCCAGTCTCGGACTTCGGGGTGGGGGTCTCCCTGACAGGAGACAGCTTCTGTGAGGCTCATCCGCACAGAGGCGCCTGCAGGGCTCCCTGGTGAGTGTGCGGGACAGACTTCTGCCTCCTGCTGCTTCCCAGAGGAGGGAGAGCCCAGGGAGCACATTTCCAGTCCCAGCAGGTCAGCCTGCGCCTCTCCACCTGATTCAGCGGGTGGGCAGGCCCAGGTGTGCACACACACACACTCTCACTCTCACACCACCCAGGTTTGAATGCCTGCGTCATGAACAAGCAGGGGGCTCTTCATCGAAACTATTAATCATGTTTCCATTTGGTCTCTCCAAAGACACCTCCTGATCCATAGGTCTGTCCTTTCAGTCTGTCCGCAGCGCCCACCTACTAGCCAAAGATCGATTTGCATAGGCAGTTTCCAGCGTTTCTCGCCCTCTTCCTGGTCAGTGGCATAAAGAAGATGAGCGTGGTCCTCTGAAGGAGCCCCAGCCCAGAAGCTGGGCTCACCTGAGGCTCCACCTGGAGCAGCAGGGACAGGCCTGACCCCTGGACAGGAACAGTCTCACACAGTCCCTTCCAGCCCCAACCCGATGGCATGGCCTCCCGAGGCTTTGCAAAACACCCTCTGTGAGGCTTGGCTCTGTGATTGGCACAGACGGTCAGACAGACACACACACACTGCCACACACGGACATCGACACCCTGGGCAGGGATGCCAGACGGCGGAACAGAAAAGGACTCCGTTTAATCTGGCAGCCTTCTGATTCCAGAGAAGACTCTGAGCCGTGACCTGCTGTTTCCCTGGCTACTGAGTCCTCAAAATAAACAGGATTCTGCTCAGACGGGCCAGTAGTCCATTCAGTTCAGCCATTTGCCCCAATACAAACCACGCTAAAATAACACCCGGGATAGCGGCTGCCACCGCCTGCTGTCTCGGCCTCCCTTCCCAGCTGGCCAGCAGCTCTGGGTCCCTGAGGCTGCTGCTACCGGCTCTCCAGAGTGGGGGCCCCCAGGGCTCTGTGCACGCTCCTGTGGGTGGTCGTCTAGAGGCAGGTCCCCTGTGCTGACAAACAAGGCCAGGGAGAGACCGAGAGGCTGCCTCCCCACCTCCCACACGGCCCTGCGGACTGGCAGCTTAGCGTGCATGCCACAACCCGTTCTCTCTCCCCACACAGAGCGTCAGTCACTGAGAGAGAGGGCGGGAGCCAGCTCGGGGCTCCCAGGGAAGCACTGCAGCACAGTGACAGTGACAAACACAGCAGAGGACGCCAAGCGCATTCCCTTCTCCTCAGAGGGAGGCAGGCACGGCCCTCAGCCTGCAAGCTCTAAGGTAAGAATCAGGTTTCTGTTCCGGGGAACAAGAGCAGGTTGTATCCAGATCTGAGGGTGTGTGTGTGTGTTTGTGTGTGTGTGTGTGTGTGTCTGTCTGTCTGTCTGTCTGTCTGAGTGCGAGCAGGAGGCTCCATGGAGAGGGAATAAGGAAGGAAACAGTTAAGGCAGTGAGATGTTTCAAGCAGATCCCCCTGCAGAGAGCATTCCTGCAGGGCGCACCCAGAAGCTCACCTCCGGCCCGTCAGAACCGTGCGGCCGGCGGCTCTGGCGGGGGCCTTCGGGCGGCACAGGCACGTAGACGCAGCTCTCGGGAGTTCAGAGGCTGTAAAAATGGTCCTGCCCCGGGCTGCCCCGGTGCCCTCACACCCCCACCACCAGGCTGATGGGGACTGGAGGGGGTAGAATGTCCTCGCTGACTTCAAGTGCTGGACTCGGCCCCTGTGGTTGGCAGGAGCCGAAGGCTGTGGCCTTCGTGAGTGGCTGGCATTCTCCTGCTGGGTCATGTTCACCCTCTTGGGGAGCCTGTAAATTCAGCTGCATTGGAGAGCTCGTCGACTGGGTTGGTGCCTTAGATTTTCACCAACATTTGTTATTAAAAAGTCGGCCTGCAAGGCAGGCTACTGCATGTATTTTGATGGGGGGTATTCTGGATGCCCCACGGTCACCTGGATTACTTCTTACCTGACCTTCTGACCTTCTTTGAAAAGCACATCCCCATCTGGGTGCCCTTCCAGACAGACCTTGGCAGAGAAGGAGCAGGAGCAGGTACGCCAGTGGGCACATTCTCTCAGGCCACACCCACCTCACTATTACATGGCAGAAGTATGCAAGGCTTCCAGACAGGAGCGCTTGAAAAAGCATAACTCTGGGTGTGGGGGTGGAAATTTCAGGCATTTAACCAGGTGCCCATTTTTCAGAGACCCAAGAAGGCAGGCACCCACCTTATCTCACCTCTCAAGTCCAAGAGCTCCCTCTCTGCCCTGGCGGAGTACAAACACTATGCTTTCTCAAGCTGTTTAAAGCCCCCCTACCCACCACTCTGCCCTGCTTTCCGCTTTGGTGACGGGCACTTTCCCTCCCTTCACCGCAGGGATTCGATTGTTTATGATTTAGCTCTGCAAACACCAGTGGGAGGACACGAGCACCCAGGCAGAGCACGGGCCGGGCTCTGCATGGGGATGAGCCAGCCCAAGGCTGGTGAAGGGCTGGAGGCACAGCCCAGGCTCTGCAGAGCGGTCGGTGTCCAGCAAAGGGCCGGCCAGCTGTTACTGGGGCCATCTGTGCAAGCGAGTATGGATTTGGGTTCAGACTGTGATTCACAGTCACAAATTCCCTTTTCCTTGGTTTTCTTCATGTTGGTGGTTGAGGGCTTCCGAGGAAAGTCCCCTTTTGAGGTTGGGTATCTGAAGGCCAGATGGCCAAAGGCGCGGCTGGTGGACGCGGGGTGGCTTTGTTCCGTGGAGCCTGCCTTTCTTAGCAGGAGTTCCCGGGTTTCCAAGTGAAGTACTTCATCAGAGGCAAAGTTAAAACACAAAAAATGAAGGGAGAAAACACTGAGTTCCTTGCAAACTCCCTCCCAAATGTGATGTGTACTGACACATGTGTGGTTTGCCTGGTTCACAAAAAGGCAGCAGAATTTAGTGGATTAAGGGGTTCGACTTTGCAGCAGCACCAGCCACAGTGACCCTATTTTCAGTGACCGTGGGGGACAGACATCCATGTCTCCTTCCACACCTGGCAAGGGGGCAGACGTCTGACCCTAGGACGGAGCGTGTGCTTGTCCGAGTTGCTGACCTGCATCCCGTGGGCCCTGCATAAACTGTTAGGGACCACGGAGGTGCAGGGGGCCGGACCATTTGCCAGCTGCTAGGATGCGGGATCCTGCAGAGTGGAGGCTCACTTTTCTACCTCGTCTGATAGACGTGCCTGGCTCATACAATTCTCCTTGGTGTGAGATACTAGAAAAATAATATGCAGTCATTTGTGCTACAGACATGCCCTGGTTTAGGTAAATCTAATACTTATACATGATACATAAATTGCACATAAATGAGTATTTTTCCTTAAGAAAGGATCTACTAATCAACGAATGTTTACTGAGTTCTGACATGGCATCCCGTTTCACGATGTGGCAGGGTCCAGCCCACCCCTCAACCACAGAGAAGGGAGGAGACCTGGCGGAGGGGGGGGGCAGGTACCAGAGAATGAGCCTGAGCGCAGAATGTCCAACTCAGGTGGAAAGTAAAGGCATCCAAGATGCAGGAGCAAGGACAGGCACTGGCTTGAAGGCCCACAGGGACAGAAGGGGGGGTAGCTACAATAGTCATCATTTTGATTCCTAAATTTCACTATTTAAGAAAGGCAACATAACATAGTGGCTGAGAGCATAGATTCTGCAGCCAGGCTCCCAGAGGCCAAAATCAGACTCTGCCACTTACTAGTTCTGGTACCTTGTGCCTCAGTTTCTTCATCCGTAAAATGGCCTAATAAAGTACCAACCTTGTTGTTGAGAGGATCAAATGTGTAATACCCTTAGCAAAGTGTCCGGTTTATAGGGAGTTCTATGTGAGTATTTGCTGTTATTATTTATTACTATCATTATTGAAAGGCAAGTTCTGAAAAAGCTGCCCCTGAGTCGGTAATGTTGCAAAGTCCAAAGTAACACTCTCTTGAGGGACCACTAGGGCCATGTTTTGGGCAGCGTGGAGGTGCCTCTGCTTTGTGTGGAGTTTTGCTTGTGTTTCCAAATGTCCAGAAACAGAACAGTTTCCATGCTGGTCACTAGTGTTTTTGAGCGTGCTTGGCTTTACATGTATGACCTCGCCAAATCCTCTCAATAACCCTAGGAAATGGGGGGTGTTGTAGCTGCAGGACTTGGGGTTCAGGGGCTGGGCCGTTTGCCTGAGGCTGCACAGTCACCGAGTGTCAGCGCCAAGCTCCACACCAGGCTGTGTTCCCGACTGGAGCGCCATCAGTGTTTTTGGGGATCACTGGAGGTGTCTTGACAGGCAGGTGGAGTTTGGTCACAGGAGTTCCACAGAAGGTGATATTTGAAGATCTAGAAAGTAGGCCAGGATTTTAAAGCTCTGCTATGAGACCCTAGCTTGGCTCAGAGGCAGGATGTCCACCTTGCGGACCTGTGGCCTTTAGGACCAGGAACAAGACATAGGCAGGCATGGGGACGAGGTGCACCTCAGGTCCTCCTGAGCCAGGTGGCGATGGTGCCTGACGGCGAAGACGGAGGCGCAGACACTGCTGGACCAGGGCTCCTTGCACCCCTCGGGCCCAAGGCCAGAGGGCCAAGACTGGGGGACTGCCACTGTGGAGAGAGGAGAAAGGGACCACCTAGAACGCAGCGTCCAGGCGCGTTGATGTTTACAGCGGGGGACGACTCGGCTTGTCAGTGTGACCCCGGAAATGGAACGTTTAGAATGTGATGTGAAGAAATTTATTTTATGCGTCATTGCTCAAGACCACCTCTCTGACTCCATCCAAGGAAGGCGGCCCACCTTGCACCAGGGCTGTGGGGCTGTGGGGGCTACTAACAAATAAGACTCCTCTCTGCCTCTCCAGAGGTCTGGTCCGGTCCGGGGTTTTTGAAACTTTAATGTGCATAAGAATCACATGGGAGCTTGTTAAAATACAAGGTGTCTGAGTCCTGCTCACGGAAGTCCTCCTGACTTAGCTGGGCTCCTGAGGGACCCGGGGTCCTGCTTTTCCTGAGCAGGGCCCAGGCGATTCTGGTGCTTTAAGGGTCCACAGGCCACCACTGTAGGCACCCAGGTCTGACATGCACTCGGTCCCCTTGCCATCGTTCCTGTTAATGAGAACACAGAGTCGTGTTGCCTGAATGAACAGCAGTTAGTCTCTTCTTTGTCATCACCTTCACCCTGAATCACCGTTTTGCTTGGATAAGACCTCTGCTTGTGCTAATAGCAGAGCCGGCACACCCACTGCACACTGACGAACGACGCGCCTGCCACAGCGCTGAGCCCTTCTGTGCGCTAAGCTCTCGTTGGGTCTTCGCCGCTGTCCCATGAGTCAGGTGCTATTGTCGTCCGCATTTTACACACACGAGAAAGGGCCCCACAGCTAGTAAGTGGTGGGGCTGGGATGTGAACTCAGGACTCACCGGCAGATCACACAGTGCAGACACGTGACCTCTAGACCGGCCCACGAGAGGGGTTTTAGTTCTTCATCCATTCAACCCTGCTTCCCACTCTTGGGTGTTTCTCCGGCTCACGGTCCTGACTTGCCCACCCAGCAGATGATGTGCCCGGTGCCTCTCTCCTCTTCTCTCAGGAAGTCAGAACGGGCTGGGGCTACGGGCAGGTGGAAGGTAGGAGTCACGGGTTGCACGACGTCCCCCTGCAATTCATATGTTGAAGCCCTGTGCCCCAGTAATTCAGAATGTGCTTTTATTTGGAGATAGCTCTTTATAGAGGTGATTAGGTTTAAATGAGGTCACTGGGGTGGCCCTACTCCAGGGTGACATGTGTCCTTATGAAAAGGGGAAGTGGGGACACAGAGGCGCAGATAAAGGGGACAGGGTGTGAGGAGACACAGGGCCCAGGTGACAGGTCTGGAGCAGGTTCTCCCCTCACGGTCGGCAGAAGGAACCGGCCCTGTGGATACCTCGATGTTGGGCTTTCAGCCTCCAGGGCCGAGAGACAACAAATTTCTGCTGTTGGAGCCACCGGTCAGGGTATGCGTTTCGGCAGCCCTGGCAAAGTACTGCAGTGGGAACCCGGCTCCTGGGCTCCTCCTCTAGGCCCTGACTTCGGGTGATCAAGTCGGGGGCCAATGCATTATCCCAACTTGTTGGAACTTTTTTTTTTAACTCTGAGTGCCTTTCCTTTGCCTTAAACAGTGTTCTTGGAAGCCACAGCCAGGCCCAAGGCCTAGGAAGAAAGAAGGAATAAATAGAAAGGATGGAGAGGGAGCAGGGAAAGGCAAGTAAAGGAAAAGGAGGCAGAGGAGAGAGTGGGGTCTAGAACA